TTTTTTTTTTTTTTTTTTTTTTCCTTTGTTGTCATTTTAATGTCCACTTTTTATAACGTATAAAAAGAGGTCATTACACGAAGAAAAGTTGGAAGTAGTGGTGTGAAATGACATGATGGTTGATGGCCGCTGCCGTGTGGCGGAAGCCGCGACGAGCACGAGCACCTTGTTGAGGGTAATTCTCCTAGGGGATCCGACGCTCCGCACGCACAGTGTGGAAATTTTGAGTGCGGCATAACGTGGCGAAGGGACAAAGGATAAGGTGAAACGATCGTGTGAGGAGCGGCTCCGTTCGTTCCACTGAGGGGTGCTTTTAAGTTACACAACATTGTATTGCATTTTTCTGTACTTTTTTTTTTATAAGTGTAAAAGCATGGCACACGCTGAACGGGTGCCTAGAAGAGCATGCGTGGCACTTTTTCCAGCTACTCCGGTTTGGTCTGCCTCCCTTGAGGAAATCCCCCGAGTAAGTCCCCCGAGGTATGCGCTCAGGAAGAGTAGCGCGAATGATGAGTGTTAAGAGACGAACGGAAGTCACACACACACAAAGCCCCTTGCCAACATGCACGGCGACATTAAGAACGATATTATTAAAAGCTTGCCCTTTACGTTCAGCAAGGTGGAGTTAGAGCCCTGCGATGGAAGGGGACAGAAAGGGGAAACGAAACAGAACAATAAGGATGATGCCCCCCCGCATGTTGTGGACAATACGCAGGAAGGTCACACCGATGAGGGCAGCGACACAGGAGGGGAGAGTCCCTCTGAGGGGACTGACCACTCCAACTGGTACGAATGTGCTGGGGGAGAATTGAGGAAAGACAAGAAAAGGAAAGAAGCTTCAAAGGGAAGCCGCTTCAACGAGCAGGTAAACAAACATCACTCGTATGAACACGTACCTGCACGAAATGGGCAAAAAAAAAACTCCGCAAAAAAGTCTGCCACAAAATGGGACGCAAAGTCTGCCGCAATGTCTGCCGCGAACCCCCTCAAACAGCATCCTCCCCTGTGCGCGCACACACGCGGGAGAGACATGATAAGCAAAATTAAAGAGCGACTCGCGATGGGCGGAATGCAAAAGGATACTCAAGGGGTAGGGGAAGGAGAGGGATTGCATTATAGCCCAGACGAATGTAACGACAGAGCATATGTAAATGTGGAGAGAAGCAAGGTAAAAAATTGGAGAGTGCAAAATTACCTTAACGTGGACAGGTTAAGCTTGTCCCTTTCGACCAGCAGCATGGGGGGTGAGGGTGCAGGTGAGGAGGACGATTTGTCCAGCGATGGGGAGAGCCCCGCAAGACGGGTAAGTGAAGGAGGGAATGACATTTTCGGGGAGTCCCTTTTTTCTTCTTTCAATTTGAACTTTGACCCGTTGGGGGGGGCAAGTGATCTTGTGGGCGGGGCGAGTGATCTTGTGAAGCGGGACGGCTTCTTCCTCACTGATGCCCATTTGAACACAAGCATGAGGGATTCTCCTAACCGGACTGATGCGGACCAGGCGGTAGGCAAGGTGCCCCCCGTTGCAATGCACAACACAGTTCACTCGCTGGAGGAAGACAAGGAATTGCATCTGTTCGACTCACTAAAAAATTTATACAAAAATTACGACAAAAAAATTAAGCTCATTAATTACACCAAAATATTAAATACAAGTCTGTGCAAGCGTGTACAGGATGTTGTGGAGGGTCCACAGGACAAGGTGTTTGAGACAAGCAGCGGTAAGGATGGTATGAAGGATGCACGTAGGAGGAAGGGGGACCCCTCGATGGGGAACAAAATGACAGAGCAAAATGTAAAGGCCATTATAATGAATATAAAAAAAAGGCTCGGGTTTTATTCCGGGGAGGAGCGACAGGATATTTTGAACAAGGGGTCAAAGATGGAGAAGCGGGGGGAGAGGCGGATGGAGAAGCGGGAGGAGAAGCGGAAGGAGAAGAAGGTGCGGCACCAGAAGAGACGCGAGAAGCGGTACCGTGAGATGCGTGAAAACAAGCCCACCTTTTGCGACAGCCTAAATTACTCAAGGGACGAGCCTCTGTCCGATAGCGTCATAAAGGAACTGTGCAATGGGGAAGAACCCGACTCACTTGTAAAAGTAGATGCAGCTAGCCAAAATGCGAAAAAATGGATTCACAAGGGAGACAGCCAAAACCTCCTTAATTATAAAAGTTTCATTTCGGATGATTTTAATTTATCACACGATAGGGATGACTTCCTTGGCTCATCCGCATCTCGTAACAGCCAAGGGGAAACCTTCCCGTCGTCCAGCGAAGGGTGCGCGAGCTCAGACAATGATGATGTGTTCGCGCTGTCCACGTCCTCGGTGCAGTTTAAGCGGAGCTTCCTGCGGGCCATAGGACGGGCCTCCAACGAAGTGGCCACTGATCGAGAAGCCCACGCAGAGGATGGCACGCAGCAGAATGGCGCGCAGCAGCAGGATGACGCACGCGGGGACACCCCAACAAACAAACAAACAGAAATAAAAGGCCAAGAGGTATTAAAAAGGGAAGAGGAGGTCCCAACAGGGACGGGTCAAAATTGTTGTGGAAGCGTCCCCTCTTCAGGGGAGAGCCCCCCAAAGGAACATATCCTTCTAGATGGAGAGCAGGGGGGACATTCAAAAATGATTTTTCACATTAATAAAGAAAGTGATGAAGAAAGTGATGAAGAAACTGATGAAGACATTAATGAAGACAAAACGAAAGAATTAATTTCACGTGGAGACAAGTATGATCAAGACAAGGAAACATGTATTGGTCAGTCGCCCAAGGATTTTGCCACCGAGGGGCAGCAACATTCTACATGCAAAGGAAGCAATTCGCAAAGGGGTGAAGAAAACGAGTCTAACAACGAAGTGAGAAAAACGGAAGGGGTAAATATTTTATCACAAGAGATGGAAGCCTACATGCTGGAGGTTTTCAACAACCAAGTGAAGCACCTCAATGAATTGGTGACGAGCGCTTTGTCCTGATTCTTCTTCGTCCGTTTGTATCCTTCGCGTGGCTGCTTTTGTATCGTCCGAGTGGCCGCTCAATTACTCCGTGGTGGAGTGCTAAGATGATGGTAAGTTATATATACGCCATGCTTCTTCTTCTTCCTTTTTTTTTTGCTTTTTTTTGTTTTTGTTTTTTTTTTTCCCCTGCTGGGATTTGAGAGGAGGGAGAGAGAGAGAGAGAGAGAGACTCACTCCGTTAACTCATTTTTTAATCAAATGATGCACCACTTCGTCGTCAGTCTATCACATATATGAGCATCGCTTTGGAGGGGAGAGGTACTCCCTCTGCAGAAGGTTCACATCTTCCTCCCATGTGGCTGCTTGAATGGATGTTGCTGGCTTCACCCGATGTAAACGCAGCCCGGAGTTATCTCCGTGTACATGTCGACCAGGTGGGTGACGTCGCTTCTGAGGGGGGAAGAGAAGGGGGGAGGGGGAACAAAATTGGAGACATGCAGAAAACGCTAGCGGGTACACACACTCATTACACTTACGTGATGTCTGTGTTCTTCTCATGCAGCAGCCAGTTCCTTAAGACGTGTTCTATTCCATAGCTGCGGAGCTTTTCCCTGCGCAGGGGTGGGACAACGAAAAAAAAAAAACAAAAATAATAAAAAGAACGGCGATGCAAACCGTTTCGGCCAGAGCGCTTATCATCCATTCAGGTGTATAATACCCACCTGGCAACGTCTCGCGTAAATAAATTACGCAGAAGAATCATGACTCTATTTTTTATATCCATGGAGGTGGTGAGCACTGTTGACATGTTCAAAATGTGATGATGCACTAGACCCTTGTTTGTCCCTTTTTGGTTAGTGTCGACGGAAGAGTGCGTTAACATTTCGCCACCCTTTTCACGCGTATACACAAGGGAAAGGATACGAGGTATTAGAAGGCAGTCTTCATGAAAGATATAAGGATGAAGAATTTCACTCACACAAAGATTTAATACGCATTGAAGCACGGCGGCGCACCTCTCCTCCTGAAGCATCTGGTTGCTCAACATATTCAACAGAAAAACGCTTTTGAAAAAATGAGCGCACTCTTTAACAGATGATACGTTAATTAACACATGAACAATGAAAAAGTACTTGTCTGTGACTTGCTTGTTAATTGAGGATGTTACAATGGGCTTGGAGAACAGGTGGAGTAGCTTGTTGAGGTAGTAGCTCACCGCTAACTGCTCCTCCGTCTGCTGCTTCTCCTGCTTCTCCTCGGGAATGTCCAAAATTTTATATATGCCTTCCTTTTCCCTGGAGAGGTTAGCCACGAGCATAATGTACAGCTCCGTGTGGCCTTTCGCCTCGGTCTCCTGTTCGTCCTTCAGTATGTCGAACACAATTTCAATCAGGTTCCTCTGAATCAGTTCTGCGGTGAAGTAGCGAAGTGGTGAAGCGACCAAGCGGTGAAGCGGTGAAATAGCAAAGCGGTGAAGTGGTATAGCGGGGGCCAACTGTCGCCCATTCAAATGCGTCGCCAAGGCTGAAACGACCACCGCTCAAACGCGTGGCCACCGCTCAAACACGCGCTGCGGTTACCTTTGGGCATGTGTGCGGACAGGTTCACCAAACACTGGAGAGCTACGAGCTCGTAATTGGAGTTGAGTGCAGAAATTAAAATCTTCAAACATTTCTTTTCGTTCTTGTGTATGTATGCCACCATAGACTCATTGTCGATCAGACTTAACAGAATTTTAAAAGCCTCCCTTTTAACAATATCCTTGTCCGCACAAATGAGACAAAATAATTCATTATAAAGAGTGTCATTATTTTCGCTACTGCCTTTGGCGCTTTCTTCTTCTTTGTTTCCCTCGTTGACCTCCTGCTTCATCTTTTTTTTTTTTTTTTTTTTTTTTTTTTTTTTT